TGGGGTTTGTGTTAGACTTAGGCAAAAACTATCAGACAAAACGGGACTCAATGCCCGAAGACAAGCTCCACAAAGTCTATACATTCAACTCAGTCCGCAAATCCATGTCTACAGTCATCCCATTGGATAACAACGAAGGCTTCCGGGTCTTCACGAAGGTTTGTGTCCATAATATTATTTGATTAGATTAAGACTCAGCGTTGGAATACCCTTAATCCAAATCCCATTCAAAATATCTTATGAATTTGAGATTAAGATATAAGTTTAAGATTTGGTATAATATCCAAAATTTATATTTGAGAATCCAATCTGTAAATTACCCCAAAATTTATAATAAGTTACAGGTTTATAAGCATTTTAAGAATAGATTTAATCTTATATTACCAGGTTTATATTATTAGTAATTAATTACCAGGGTGAATCATAAAAAATAGTTGATATGCAATTTAAAGTAGTGTTTTACATAAAATTACTGGCTAACTAAAGTACGATATGACTAAAACTGATGCAAAATGATGTGACAATGTATTTGAATGAGTGTTTTGTGCCATATTTAGGGCGCCTCTGAGATCGTGATGAAGAAGTGTATGTTTATATACGGAAAGGACGGTACGTTACTCCGGTTCCCAAAGGAGGAACAGGAGAAGCTCGTCAAGAACGTGATCGAACCCATGGCCTCGGACGGCCTCCGGACCATATGTATCGCCTATAAGGACTACGTCCGCCGTAAACCTAACGGTCCCAATGAGATCCAGATGGAGGCTGAGCCCGACTGGGAGGACGAGGAGGCGATCATCACTCGACTCACGTGCCTCACCATTGTTGGCATCGAAGACCCCGTGCGGCCTGAGGTCTGTACCTGTTATTTCTATTTACTCCAGTTCCTTTCTATTGTCGTATTGACTAGTGTTTGGATAATCGGTTAGTTTATTGCCGATAATTGGCAACCATTTGTGTATTATTTTGCAGTTTAGGGTTTGTTTTAGTTTTAGTTTTTTGCTGAATTGAAGCAATTTTTATGTCTGAAAAGAGATTTTTGCCTCACTTTTGAACAGATTTCACACTTATTGCGGTATGAAATCCATTCGTTATATAAGCTCTCTGTCCCTCCATCCCTCTCCCTCTCAGAGAGTTTTTATATGTTATGCTCTAATGTAATGTAATGTATAAAAGTATCGATACATTTGTCGATCAATTTCCGATTTAGCTCTCCATTCGTTACATACAATCCATTTTACACATAGTTTTTATCACACATTCTCTCTCTCTCTCTCTCTCTCTCTCTCTCTCTTTCTTTCTTTCTTTCTCCCGAACATTTGAGAGGGAGAGAGAGAGAGAGCACTCAATAGTGTTCATTCATTCATTGCACACATTATATTATGATTGTATAAAAATTTTTCTCTCGTTATCTATCGATATATTTGTCTTTGATCTTAAAAATTGCTGCTTCACTGGTCTTTCTATACAATTACGAGCTCTTAAACATAGTCTCTCTCTCTCTCTCTCTCTCTCTCACACACACACACACACATTCACTCACTCCGACTCATGTTATGATGTTTTCTAAAAATTTTATTTTAATGTGAATTTAACCGAAAAACTTATTTGGAGATTGAATTTGAGTGAATAGTCATATATGGATACATTTGAAGTCAAATAAACTATTCATACAAACCCAAGGAATAAATGTCTTGTTATATAACTTATGATATTTTATTCTCTTACAAAACTAATATACTGTAATGAGTACTTCTTTTATGCCATTTTTATATCCACTATTTATTTGGTGCGAGAGAGAGAGAGAGAGAGAGAGAGAGAGAGAGAGAGAGAATTTTTACATTTCATACACTATTCCGTAGAAAATAATGCGAAGCCATAGATAATATTGTTTGAGGTCTTTGCTTCTATTGATTACTTAATAAATCATAAAATTTTCATTTAACGCCATTCAGGCTCTCTCTCTCTCTCTCTCTCTCTCTCTCTCGTAATCAGATGTTTCGCTTCATTCAATTCTTGGGTGAAGTTTTCGGAACCGATTCTCACGTTATCGTTGATTACTTATTCTTAACTCTCAATCGCTTTAACATTCAATTCATTTCTATTTTAAGTACTCACTTTCACTTTCGCTCTCAATCTCTGTGTTAACAGTGAAATAATTGTCAAACAAATTTGTTGACAATTTTTGTATGCATTGCATTCAAAATCGTTTGCATTATTCGTAATAACACTTAAATTTCGATTAATTTTAAAATGAAGTTTTCGTTTGCACTGATGTATGCCATTATAGTGCAGTATCTCTCAACGTCTCTCTCTCTCTCTCTCTCTCTCTCTCTCTCTCACTCACTCACTCACACACACACACACACACCCTATATTTAGAATTGGATTTCATTTAAATATCAAATATATACCATGCTATCGGTTTTCTATAGCATAACATTCAGTTGTATAAATGTAGTGAATTTTATTTGAAATTCAAACCAATTTCAATGATGATATTTGAGGAATAAGATCACTATTGCAACACAATAGATGAGAGAGAGAGAGAGAGAGAGAGAGATTATTGAATCAAAAGTTCATTTGATTGATAATATGTTTATTAAATATTTATAGCATTTTGTTTGCACTAAAAACTGATTGATGATATGTTTAGCGAAATCTATTGTTTATTATATAATATACTATAAGTTTGTGTGTTTTCTGTGTGCATCTCGTTATCAAATGATTGCAATCTATTTATTTATTTATTAATAACTATATAAAACTGTTTGCTTATTCCTGGTAATAATAAGTTATTATAGATGAGACATAGCCTCCATAAAATATGTAACTACTTGTTAGAGAACCCGGGTGATGTAGTTAGATATTTAACCCAGCTTATCATATATTATTCATATCTAAGCTAAATATAAGTTAAATTTTTGTTAAACAAAACCTATTTTCTCTAGTATTAGGCCTTGTTTTGAATCATATCAGTGCTCACTGGATTGTAAACTAGCATCTATTGTATGGACAATAATTTTAGTTTTGAATTCTTTAAGAGTATTTAATATTTTTTAGTCCTTTCCGTATATAAACATACACTTCTTCATCACGATCTCAGAGGCGCCCTAAATATGGCACAAAACACTCATTCAAATACATTGTCACATCATTTTGCATCAGTTTTAGTCATATCGTACTTTAATTAGCCAGTAATTTTATGTAAAACACTACTTTAAATTGCATATCAACTATTTTTTATTATTCACCCTGGTAATTAATTACTAATAATATAAACCCGGTAATATAAGATTAAATCTATTCTTAAAATGCTTATAAACCTGTAACTTATTATAAATTTTGCGGTAATTTACAGATTGGATTCTCAAATATAAATTTCGGATATTATACCAAATCTTAAACTTCAATCTTAATCTCAAATTCATAAGATATTTTGAATGGCATTTGGATTTAGGGTATTCCAACGCTGAGTCTTAATCTAATCTAATAATATTATGGACACAAACCTTCGTGAAGACCCGGAAGCCTTCGTTGTTTAGGTTACCCTACTGACATCTGTACCTAAACGCCTGACTCAACTTACATATCTGAAACACCTCGAACAGAAGCCCGTAACTCAGGGCAAAACAGACTATCAAAAACGGATTCAGATTGTGTTTGGGGTATAACGCACATTCGGTTTTATTACCCACTTGTTTGGGATTATCACCCGGATTATCGGGAGGCTGTCCACCAAAAATAAACACAAAGCACACGTGTATTAGCGCACAGGGAGTTAAGATTAAAATACTTATGCAACATTAAAGTGATATTTTTGTCTAATTCGTGTCATGTTTGTCAATGAATATTTGTCCTTGTTAATATTAAGCCTATTTGTCAATTGAATTCAGTTGTCATAAATATGTTAATTGTTTGCATATAATGTGTCTAATAATCTGTTAATTGCAAGTTTATGACAAATATAATTTATAAGCCGAGTGTGAGACATACCATAACGCGTGTGGTGTAGGCGCTATTGAGTGATATGGCGTCGACGAGAATGGACGCCACAGTCGGAGAAAGGGATTCATATTTGGGCGCATTCTTGAAGTGAACGCCGCAAATGAAACTCTGGACGACAGTCATCCGGTTCGTGGTCAACGTCCCCGTCTTGTCGGAGCAGATGGCCGTCGCGTTGCCCATCGTCTCGCACGCGTCCAAATGGCGCACCAGATTGTTATCCAGCATCATTTTCTACATTCACCATATCCTCATCATTACCATCTTATAGTCTACTCGCCTTATAATTAAGCGCTTAATCGCATATACACTCCACACCACTCGCTATACTTGCATTCAATGGATATGTATTCAAATATTCAAACAATTATTTTTTCCAGTAATTATATTTTCGGATTGTTATCCAGTAGCATTTTTAATATTTTCATATACAAGATTATTTTTAACTCGTAATTACAATTAAGCGCTTATCGTATTGCATATTAATATATTACAGTACAGTACTTGTACACTGAATTATCCAATCGCTATACTGTACTCTCTATTAAAATTTTCATCATTTTATAATTACATATCAGAATATTCTGTCAAATATTCGATGATTATATTCCCAAATATATTAAAATATTCTGCATATATATTCATTGGGCATAATATATCTCGAAAACATTTTGTATAATTATATTCTGCAATATATTCTTGATTTTTAATTACAGGCACTCAATAGTGTAGAGAATTCTCACACGTATTCGCATTCTGTGTACACTATAAGTGTTTACTGTATTTATAAGTTGTCTAATAATCTAATAAATTATTCATTCGCTATTCACAACACAAATACTGTACTATAATTGACAATTTAATTCACAACCTATTGATTAAATAGCTTTCACTTTTGTTTTTTCTTATCATAAGTGTTGGTAATTCAATATTTTTATAGCAAAGCAAAAACTGATAAATCAAATGCGAAAAATAAATAATATAAATATTAATTTTTCGCAAATCGTTTCAAATTAAAAAAGCTATTTATCGCTACAAAAGGCAAACAAAACCCACAAACCGATAGCGATATAAATAAAAGGGAATAAAATTCGTCAAAAATTCTCAATTCATAGGATTAATGGCAAAAAATCGTATCCTATTTTCAAACATCACTTTTTCACTACTCGTATAGATTTATGTGACTTTTATACAAATACTGTAGTGTATAATATCTATGTCTATACAATATCATAGCCGTCGGTAACCTAATTGCAACGCAAAAATCACTCACGCATTGTATACTATAAAGTACTGTACACTACATATCGCACATACTTTGACAGTAAATATTTTAAGCAATAAATAAATCGATAAAAATTTTAAACAGTAATTGAAAAGTAGCTCTCGATTGCCTATCGGTGCGAGTGGTGGAGTGGTTGAGTGCATAACGCGATTCACAAAACCTATTTATTTATACGGGAGTGTATTATTGCAATTAAATCCTAACCCAAAATCTGGTGCAATAAATAACAACCCCTGGTAAACTAGGTTCACGCCCTTTATTAGGAGCTATAGATATAGATGAGCCATACCTTGACACTGTAGGCCAGCGCCAGCGTGACGGCTAGTGGAAGACCTTCGGGCACCGCCACCACCAGTACAGTGACGCCGATGATCACGAACTTCACAAA